ATTATTATTATTATTATTATTATTATTATAAGTATAAGTTGCTTTAAGCAAGTCAGTGAGGTGGTGAAGCATAGTAAGGGGGCGGCTTATTTTTTAATTATTGTTTTCGTTATTTTTTCGTCCACTAACTATACCTCCATCAAACTCAGAAGCGGTCAGGACCTTGTTTATAAGGGAGATCGATGAATAGCTGGGCTTTAAGCAGGGCGGCCGCGGTCTCACACGTAAGGAAGTCGTCAACAGACTGAAAACGTATGTAGATGTGTGACACTTCGAAACCGATCAGGGAGATTGTTCGAGATGCCAGTGTAGTAAACCACGGGGAAGTAGTGTCATGAGTTTGTACGCACTTGAGGCCACACCAAAATGTTGCTGGATTTATGGAATTTAAGGCGTGTAAATGAATTCACATTTGGTCCAGCCTCTCCTTTAGAAGCATTTCGGTGCAACGGACGGCGTAAGAGAATTGAAGTCTACTTTAACCGCCCGAGCCATAGTGGCTCAATGCCTAAGAAGGGCATCAGGCTTGCTAGGACACAGCCACGTCCATGTACTGCATTCGAACGTTGACAAGCGGCAGTGGAAGTAGCTTGGACGTAGTGCAGTTTAGGTAAGACAAGGGGGTTATCTGAAGGACAAAATATCACAGAGGAGATCAGGGGAGGTTTTGAGGGTGGCTAGTAAAATTTTGCTAACCCCGGGGAGGTCAGTATGAAATTAAGTAGACTGGGAAATCAGGAGTTCTCGACATAGTGGTTGAGTTGGGATCAGCTAAAGATGCCTGGACGTATCGCGGTACGGAGAGAGGGTTTGGGTTGCGGTGCAGCCAGTGGAGCTCCGGGACCCAGATTAGCGGGCTGGGTCAAGTAGTCGTTTGCACCTGAAGATGGCACCGTATGTGATAGTTGAACAGAAATAGCGGGATTTGGTTCATCCAAAATGGAAGGGCAGGTACAGTGTTTAAGGTGAAGGAAATGGGAGGCTGTGCCCTGGAGGGTAAAAGGACACGATCTATCCTGTTATGCCTTCCGCACCAAATCGTGGGGTAGGATGGCACGAGTAGTAAATCTGGCCTGATTGGAGTTGAAATAAAAGTAAGAGATGCAAGATACGGGGAGGGGACAGGGTGCAGCGAGGAAACTTGTGGTGTAATCAAACTCTCTCGGAAGGGTGTGTCCCTGTTGGGGGTGAACATGAATCTTCTGCTGCAATTTTGGCTTGCCTCTTGCACAAGTTCAAATCCGTATACGGATTTCAGGTCGCCCTATGTATTAGCAACTTGCCCCTGTCCAACCTATTCCCCTGCACCTGAATTCCCTACAACAGTGCAACCAGTGAGTCTGCTTGCTTTCAGATTAAACCACATTTTTGAGACAAAACTTGTCATGTGCTCCCAATTTTAATTATCCCATCTCCATCTCCAGTTTTGCTCGTTGTGTCTCCGGCCATTTACCTGACCACCTAAGGTCACTCATGGCCAGCAATGGTTTTCAGTTTTAGTTCATGCAACCTGACTGTCTTTGAACTAGTCGGACCTCATGCCCATTGTTCCCAACAAGTTGGGAAATAACCTATTATTGCTATATCATCGGGTATTCTCCACTGTTTATGACTTTGGCCTCTTTTTGTGCAGTCCGCAACCCAACAAATCCCCCAGTCATGCTCCATGGCAGGTGGGATGGGGCATCTGTCTGGGATAGTGACGTTTTCCAGGAAACTGTACACTCCACGAGGTCATCAGTCGTCTTGGGATTTCTTTGGTACCATATGTAGGGGTGACTACCAGTGACTTGATGAAGTGCGGCTGATGATGAGATGGAACATGTGCTTTAACACATGTTTCGGCATCTGGAGCTTAGCTGGATGGAGCCCACGCGGATTAGTGTGGAAAGGTGGACCTCTCGTCCGGATGTGGTGAACGACGGAACGCGTGACCAGTTGAGTATACTACATGGATGAATATGGGTAAGAAAATCCTCAAGAACGGCAGCGAAACGAAAATTGATTAGGATAACTCAGATACCTGTGGATGAATTTGGAGCACTAATTCCGTTGAGGGAGGGAATAATAATACTAGTGATAATAATAATGTGTATTCACAGCTTGTGGGTGGCATACCGTCTGGCGTGATCATAGTTTTACAGTCAGAAAGGAGCATGACTGGGGGATTTGTGGGGGTGCGTATTGCACAAAAGAAGGACAATGTCATAAGCAGCTCGTCAAAGAGCCGTTCTTAATGCACGTCGATGGATAGGTTGTATTGGATTAGAAAGTCTGAGCCCAGGATTGGTGATTGGACGTCGGTGTAAAGGAAGATCCACTTGGACGCACGTCACGATCCGAGGTCGTTTGTGAGGGAACGTTCGCCGTATGTAGTGATGCGGGTACGAATAAGAAGCAGAATCGCGAGGTGGATTCTTATGTGGTAGCACACTAACTTCAGCTCCTGTATCTACGACGAAACGCAGACAACTTGAACAATCGGCGATGTGAAAAAGGCGGCTAGTGCCAGGAGGGCTACAGACAGTCATCGCCGTTACTGACTGGCCGGGGTGTTTAAAAGGGTGTTGGGAAGTGGCTTGAGGGAACAAGTCCGTTGGCATTTGCGTGCTTCAGGGACGAAAGTTTGGCGATACCAGCAGCAAGAGAGACGGGTAGGAGACAACGATCAAGAGCGTAAACGTGGTCGATGCTTGCTGAGCTCCAGCTGTTGCAGTCGGTCGGTCAAAGTATCAAATTTGGCTTGTGTTCGTTATACGGAAAGAAGAATTGCATCGTAATCTAGGGATGTGGTAAGTGTAGGGCAGGAGACGGAGTTTGGTGGATTTTATCCATCAGTTGGGCCAGCTGCTCCAAGCTGTGGTCATCAACGAAAGCATTGATGACGTAGGGCATGGAGAGTGAAGGTTTGTTGAGCCATAGTTGGGCCATGTTTTTCACCGCTATTTTACGGCCGCGGAGATGGCTGCGCTTGTGACGAAGCAGTTGTGACGGTGACCTGTTACCAAACTCGACTGTGGTGAATAAACCCCGTAGTATCTTGTTTTCAGTCTTCCCCGTCCTACTGATGACGGCCGCTTGAAAGTCCTAGTAGGGATTTCCCTTGGGGATATATTCCAGCAGACCTACTTTTGTTGCTACATCACGAGGAAGAAGCCGTATAACATGAAAAAACAGGTGGCTTGGGAAGTGACGAACCCACACCATGGGATTGCGGGGATTATAATCTGGTAAACGTATGCTGATTACATTCTCGACCAAATCCACTGAATCAAAGTGTGTCTCCATAATGACCGGGCAAAAGAAAAATTACGACGAATTGAAGGGAAGGGTTTTCAAAAAATATCTAGAGAGAGTCAGGACCACCAAAATTGTAGCAAGCTATGTGCCCAATAAGTCATTTTATCAGGATTATGTGGCAAAGAAAGAAAAATAACAACGCCGGATTGTGTATGCAATAATAGAGGTCAAATGGAACAGACTCACTAATAATTGTTCACCCCAAAATGTTTATCGTTGGCCCAGGTCAGCGAATGAACAGTAATCCAAACATGGCTGCCCATGGGTCTTTTCCTGAGCAGATCCTACATAAAATACACTCCGAAATGTTTTGATATGAAATGTTTTGATACCAGAGTTGGCGCGTGAGACTCGCAAATGACTGCTGCAAGCTTGAGCGAATTCAGGAGAGTCGAAGCACTTGACCGCGTTTGCATTGCGTGAAATTGTACGAGTGCGTGTTTTTTAGTTTTCCGTATTCAAAAACAAAACGATTATGCATTTCACAAAATACGTAGTTTTAAATTAAGCAAATTAAAGATACAAAACACCACAAAGTATACCCATCGACAAGTTTTGATTACCGTTTACCCTTCTGAGTCGCGGGTGCCAATCGTGATGTCGACTAACGAGTATTCATCCATAGTGACCGGGCGAAAAACTGTGGGGTCACTAGATTTTATTGAGTTGGCCGCCCTGAAAGCTACTTTATCAGGAGTTTGGCAAGGAAATAAAAATAAAAATAACGCTAGACTTGGTGTACAATAATAGAGGGAACAGACTCACTAAGAATTTTTCTCTTCAAAATTATAGTCGTTATCCTAGGTCATCGAATGAATAATAATCCAGTTGTGGTTGTCCAGTGTTGTACTTTTGAACCTTGTGCTTTGGTTGAAAAGGGTACTGCGAACAGGTGTTTCACGCTTGACTCAAGTAGTACATGGCCAGTACATGGCTAGTACATGGCTATTACATGGCTAGTACATGACTAGTACATGGTTATATTTTCAAGTGGACAGGTTTATTAGGCAAACTTTTTCCATTTTCGGTTAGTTGGTTCATGCAATACCATTCCCAAGACGGTTGTTCTCACTGAATCCAGCACCTTATTCAAAGCATTATTTGAAATTTCTTGTGTAAGTCTTCGAACTAACAAACTTACGGCCCAGCGCCGAGAGCTAAGAGATATGCTGCACCCTTTTACCGCTTGTGACTTTTAGGATAGTGGAAATCACTGAGCGACAAGAACAAAGCTGTCCCCAGAAGCTTAGGTGAAATGTTCAGTCCCGAGTATCAATCCATGAAAAACAATGGCTGTCAAATCTGTCACATGATTGACCCAGTTTAAAGCACCAGCGACACATAGCTGTTCCCAGAAGCTTAGGTGAAATGTTCCGTCCCGAGTATCATTCCATGAAAAACAATGGCTGCCAAATCTGTCACATGATTAACCCAGTTTAAAGCACTAGTAGACATTTATTTATGCGAATCCTCGCGCTGGCAAGCATACTGCCCCGCGCTGAGAATATAGAGAGCAGTGCCACATCACTTTTTCGTTTGTACCTTTCAGGTGAAGGCCAGCCGCTGAACGGCAAGGGAAACTTGGGCGAAAGCCTCGATCCCGTGTATCAATCCGTGAATCCGTGATCGACCAATCAGCAGTCGGAAATATGTTGGGTCCGCTGCGGAAAGCGCACGATAGATGGGACGAGCCGTACACTTGATCAGACTTGCCATTTTCTAATTCCTTGGATTGTATGCCGCTAGTGGCGACAGAATTCCAGATAATCTAGGGTACCTGCCAGAACTTATGGGTTGTATACTGTCCTCGCTGATTCCCCAAGATAGATCATAGTCGAAAACAATCCGTATCATATTTACAGGCCACAGTCTCTAGAGCTCGCCTTTCCCTTCTTCCCATCGATAAATGGCCGACAAGGGTACCAGGATAATGCAGAATAAGGGAAGTCATTGGCGAATCCAATAACCGGCAGCCAATACACTGAGTTGGTGGATGCAATCCATTTTGGGAATATTTGCATTCGCGGGTTTCTTGTGGCATCTATGTATCCTCTTAAATGTCAGTATCTTGCAAAAAATCCAGACTTAACCTATAAAACAAAGGAAAGCCTTCGTCAGATTACGTTTATCACTTGAAAGTCACGAACCGCCGGGACCCATCTGTAGTCAGTTGTACACGGATTTCAAAGCAGTCGTAAATTACTTTGTTAAATAACAGTTTTTTAATAGTTCACCGAACTTGAATGTGGATCTACCTCACAGTTCGCATGCGTAGGATAATATGTTGGAAGACATCAAGGTGTGCCAGTCTAGGCTTGGGCAACCTGACAGTATCCCAGCCCCTTCCTTTCGGGAGGCATGGTAGCTAGGGACCGAAAGGGGACTATAGCTGAACGGTCATCTTATTATCTTTTTTATTATTTTATTATGCTAATGACTTATTTACGGCTGTGATGACAGAAGACTCAGTAGTGCAAACGAGGCGTAGCTTTTGAGCAATACACCGACTAAACTTCGAATATTTGACTTCATCCTTCAAACCGAGTTATCACCGTTGTCGCTAATATATATGACATGTCTTATTTAATTGGTAATTTGTGAGATAAAGAAACCGGTTTTTTGAAATTAACCTTCTACACAGTCGTTTTAGCAGTGCAAGGATTCGTTTGCTTCTGTATGCTATCATGGAGGTTAGTAAACTAGGTCCCGCGCTTTCTTTGGGAGTTCTGTTCAGAGGTATCTGCAGGGTACATAGCACTTGAATGCAGTATAAATCCAAAACAGCTTGACTGATTGTAAAACGCCAGAACTATTCAAAATTGTGTGGTAGGTAGATTTTGCATACATCAGGCGGGCAGAATTGCTTACTGATCCGGTGTCCTCACCAGAATCAGGTAATGCTCTGATGAAATCTA